CGCCAACAACACCCTTCAAAGTGGCTTAAACCTATTGCCAACCATCAATAGTGGCGCGAATTACAATTTTAATCTAAATGCGAGCTTAACCCTTATCAACGGCTTTCAAAAAGTAAACACCATATATAGAAACAAAGCGGAACAGGAGGCTTCAAAGTTCGACAAAGAAAACACCGTTAACAATACTGTACTCCAGCTCACCAACTATTTTCTGCAAATTTTATTGAACAAAGAATTGCTGAAAACAACCGAAAAACAAGTTGATATCTCTGACGCTCAATTAACTAGAGCAAAGACTCAGGCAAAGTCGGGAACACTTGCCGAAACAGGCTTGTATGAGTTTGAAGCTCAACTTGCTCGCGATAAAGCGTCCATGATTCAAGCTAAAAATAATGTGGCGATTGCCTTACTACAATTAAAATTAGCGCTGCAACTCAGCGATTCTGTTGACTTTGACATTGAGTCGCCCTCTGTTGCCGAAAACATGGCTGTTAACTTCGAAACGCTTAATGCTTCCGACATTTATCAAACAGCTGTTTATAACCAACCTTCTATTAAAAGTGCACAAGCAAAAGTTGCCAGCGCTATTTTTACACGTAAAGTTGCATTGGGTTCGTTAAGTCCCACTATCAGTGCGAATTTCAGCATGAGCGATAATTATTTTAATAAAGCAACACGTGTTGTTTCTGTTGTACCCTATGTAACAGAGCCCGTTGGTTTTAATGATCAGTTTAAAAACAACTTCAGCAAAGTGGTGGGTTTTAACCTCTCCTTACCAATCCTAGCCGGCTGGTCGCGAATGAACAATATCGCTAACGCAAAAATTCAGCAACAAATACGCACCTTTGAGCTCGACAATCAGAAAAACAGATTAAGACAAGACATTCAACAGGCCTACAACAACGCTAAGGCTGCGCAAGAATCTTTCGTTGCCAACGACAAATCAGCCGCTGCCGCACGTAAATCGTTTGATGTATATCAAAAACGTTTTGATGTTGGATTGGCCAACACCTTCGAGCTGCAACAAGCCAGAACCAACTTGCTGCGTGCAGAATCGCAACTCATTCAAGCGAAATATACTTACGTATTGGATTTAAAAATATTGGATTTCTATCAAGGAAAACCAATCAGCTTACAATAAAAAACAGACTGACTAATGAAAAATAAAACGTTGATAGGTGTTTTGCTCGGCATTGTTGTGTTGATGCTCATCATCGCTGTGATTGGAAAACAAAAGAATTGGTTCGGCAAAGGCGACTTGCAACAAGTGGCCGTAGAAAAAGCCGAAAAGCGCGCCATTGTGGAAACCGTTACAGCCAGTGGGAAAATTAATCCGGAAACGGAAGTGAAATTATCGTCTGAAGTTTCGGGCGAAATTATTGGCTTATATGTGAAAGAAGGCGACAGCGTGAAAAAAGGAGAACTGTTAGTGGAAATTAACCCTTCCATCTATGAATCGCAAGCCAGTCAAGCGTCTGCGAATGTGAGTCAAGTGAAAGCTAATCTATTGAGTGCTGAAGCCACGTTGAAAAATCAACAAACGCAATTCGAACAAGCACAACGCAACTTCGAGCGCCAAAAACAATTGTATAACGAAAAAATTATTTCCGATCAAGAATTCGACCAAGCGAAAATGAGCTTACGTACTGCTCAAGCGGCTTTCGAGACAAGTCGTGAGCAGTATAACGCTTCTCAATTTTCCGTAAAATCTTCGGAAGCACAACGCAAATTGGCCGGAGATAATTTAGGCAAAACCAGAATCTATGCGCCTATCAGTGGGATTGTTTCTTTGTTGAATGTGAAATTGGGCGAGCGTGTGGTAGGAACCGCGCAAATGGCCGGAACTGAATTGATTCGCATTGCCGATTTGAACAACATGCGTGCAGAAGTGGATGTGAACGAAAACGATGTGTTGCGGGTGAAAATTGGCGACACGGCTGTTGTGGAAGTGGATGCTTATCGTGCCAAAAAATTCAGAGGTGTGGTAACACAAATCGCCTATTCATCGGCTACAAGCACCGGTATTGTAAGTACTTCGCAAGCCATCAATTTTTCTGTAAAAGTGAAGTTGTTGAAAGAATCCTATGCGGAATTGATTCATCCGGAATACGGACAGGCGTATCCATTCCGTCCGGGTATGTCGGCTACTGTAGATATAAAAACACAATCGAAGGGTGATGTACTTTCTGTGCCTATTCAAGCAGTTACAACGCGTGAAGAAAGCGAATTGAAAAACAAGGAAACGACTTCGTACAAAAAAGACGATAATTTTGATGCGAAGGAACTCAAAGACATGAAAGAAGTAGTGTTTGTGGTGGAGAACGGCAAAGCGAATGCGGTTGTTGTAACCACAGGTATTCAAGATGCTTCACACATCGAAATTACAAGCGGACTAACATCCGGCAAAGACGTAATCAAAGCGCCATTTAAACTCATTTCAAAAACATTGAAAAACGGAGACTTAGTGCAAGTAGTGGAAGAAAAAGAGTTGTTCAAGGAAAAGAAAGATAAATAACCGCTGTGGTAACCATTAAAATTGGCGGTGTTCCCGAACATTTCAACTTGCCATGGCAACTGGCTATTGAACAGCAACTGTTCGAAAAACACAACATTCGTGTAGACTGGAACTACTATGCCGGAGGAACCGGTGAAATGGTGGCTGCGCTGAAAAACAACGAACTCGATTTAGCCATTTTGCTCACAGAAGGTTTTCTATCGGCTGTATCAAAAGGCTTACAAGCGGTGGTGGTGAAGGAATATATCTCTTCGCCTTTGGTGTGGGGCATTTTCACGGGAGCGCGTTCGAATATAAAATCGGTGTATGACGAATCGGCTAAAAAGATTGCCATCAGCAGACCCGGCTCAGGCTCACACCTTATGGCATTGATCCATGCCGAACAGCGAGGCGAATCTATTGCTGATTACGAACTGGTTGAAATCAAAAGTTTACAAGGTGCCGTTCATTCTTTGGTAAACAACGAAACCGATTTGTTCTATTGGGAAAAATACACCACCAAAGCGCATGTTGAATCAGGCGAATTAAAGATGATTGGCGAGTTTTCGGCATCTTGGTCGAGTTTTTTAGTTACGGCTAACAAAAATATTCTTGGCGAAAAAGGCGAATCGATTCATAACGTTTTAGCCATAATGAACAACTTCTGTATCGACTTCGTGAAAGATCCTAATTCAACAGTTGAATTGCAAAAGCGTTTTCACCTCACCGAAGCAGAAATAAAAACATGGCTCGCGCAAACCATTTGGAATACGAGTTTTTCGCTTCGTAAACAAGGCCTCCGCAATGCTATCGATTCGTTACAAAAAATTGATGCTACGTTTGCTATTCCGGACTACAATTGTTTCGTGGCGGAGAATATTTTGTTGCGATAGAAACGCATTAAACAAAAACACAATGTCTATTTGGCTGACGAGCAGATGCTTTTGTTGAGTAACAAAAAAAGAAAATCGAAAACTTGTTTTTTTACATTAGCTCAAGTAACTTTAAAGAGTTGAAACCCTATACCACATTTATTTATGATTAAGCCATTTAGCTTGTTTTTTTCTTTTTTAACATCATTGAGTTTGTTTGCTCAAACTCAAGCATCTCAAGATGTTCAAAACCTTTACAACCCTAATTATAGATATATTACCTACTTAGGTATGGATTTTTCAAAGGTTGTTTTAATTGGAGATTTTTCTGAAGCACTAGGTACCAATGGAAACCCAGCAACCAAAAATGCTTATTTTAAGGCATGGAATAATTTGGTTTCGGGCGAATTCGATAAATACAATATTAAAGCTTTAGCAAACAACAAAAACATTGTTCCAAACATTGAAAATATAATGAAATTGAATTATGCAGCAAACATAGACTCTATTTCTGGTTACAAAACACCAAATTATACTAAAGAAGAGATATTAAAGCACGTAAAAACATTTAATCTGCCAACAAACAAAGGGTTGGGTGTTTTTTTTCTGATAGAAAGTTTTAATAAAGACATTACAAAAGCTTTTGTTGATTTTGTAGTAATTAACATGGAAACAAAAGAAATAGTTTTACTTAAAAAGCTTGAAGTTAATCCAAGAGGTAGTGGTCTCAGAAATTATTGGGCTGGAGCTATCTTTGAGGCTTTTAAGACCATTGAAAAAAACTTTTCAAGTTCTTGGAAATCGGAATTTTCTTTTAATTAGTAAACAAACCCAAAACAATAAACAATGAAGAAATCAATTTTATTCCTAGGAATGCTTTTGGCATTCTCTGCTACGTTTTCACAAAAAAAAGGGAAAGAAGAAATTATTACCTATACCTGTGAAGATGGTACCCTATACACTGTTGGTGATACCCTACGATTTGGTCGCGGTTCAAATCCTAATGGCAATTTTAATTATGTTTACTTACTCCCCAATTTTTTTAATTCTCAGTCTCTACCATACAATTCTAGTCTTAATGGCAAATTTGCAATAATTGATAAAATACAAAAAAGCGGAAGTGATAAAATTGGATACACTACTTACTTTGGTTTTAGATACCCTGCGGGTAATAGCGGAATAAATGTTGAGACTGCAATTCAAAGCGGTGAGTTAATCACTCCCGCATCAAAACTAAAAAAAGAACAAGCCGACAAACCTGTCATTATTCAACAAAATCAATCTAGCCTTGCTGACGAACTTAAAAAGCTGAAAGAATTACTTGATAGTGGTGTTCTTACAAAAGAAGAATATGACACACAAAAGCAAAAATTATTAAACAAGTAAATTATACTGCAAGTTAGGCTTGTTACTCGAAAACAATTGTCTCTAATTTATAATAGCTCTTTGTTTAAGTTGGACAAAGAGCTATTGTTTTTTCCAATGGTACCTTTTATAAAAAGGTTCTTGATTTCGCCCCCCATTTCCGCCTATCTTTTTCTCTTTTTTAGTATCATTGTCCCACAACATTTTTCAGCCTAATAAACGACAACGATGCCGGAAACAGCCCTACACATTTTTAATACACTCAGCAGACAAAAAGAAAAGTTTGAAGCCATTAATCCGCCTTTAGTAGGGCTTTATACTTGTGGTCCTACCGTGTATAACGAAGTGCATATGGGCAACCTCCGCACCTTTCTTACGTTCGATATCGTATTGCGCTACCTTACGCACTTAGGCTACAAAGTGCGCTATGTGCGTAATATCACCGATGCAGGTCACTTAACCGATGATGGCGATGCGGGTGAAGATAAAATCGAGAAAAGAGCAAAGCTGGAGCAACTGGAGCCTATGGAGATTGTGCAGAAATACACGAACTCTTTTCATGAAGTGTGTGCTGTTTTTAATCTTACTCCGCCTAGCATTGAGCCAACAGCAACCGGACATATTGTGGAGCAAATTCAAATGGTGAAACGCCTTATTGCCAATGGTTACGGTTATGAATCCAATGGTTCAGTGTATTTCGATGTGAAAAAATTCATGGAGAAACACGAGTACGGCAAACTCAGTGGACGTAATGTTGACGATCTTTTGGAGGTAACGCGTGATTTGAGCGGAACCAGCGATAAACGCAATTCGTACGACTTTGCGCTTTGGATTAAAACACCGGAAGCCGCTTTGCAAAAATGGGATTCGCCATGGGGCGAAGGCTGTCCGGGTTGGCACTTAGAGTGCTCGGCTATGGGAACAAAATATTTGGGTAAGCAATTCGATATTCATGGTGGTGGTTTCGATTTGAAATTCCCGCATCACGAGTGTGAAATTGCGCAGAGTGTAGGCGCAGACGGAGTTACACCGGTGCGTTATTGGATGCATTCCAACATGCTAACTGTGAATGGCACAAAAATGAGCAAGTCGTTAGACAATTCCTTCCTACCGAAAGAACTGTTCAGTGGAACGCATCCTTTATTGGAAAAGGCTTACAGCCCAATGTCGGTGCGCTTCTTTATGTTGCAAAGTCATTACCGTTCAACACTCGACTTTTCAAATGGTGCACTACAAGCGGCAGAAAGAGGTTTCACAAGGTTGTTGAACTGCTATAAAACGTTGTCAAAGCTAGAGCACAAAGCCGGAACAGTTGACGCACAAGAAGTGCTCGATGTGAAACAGTTTTGCGAAGCTATCTACGCTAATATTAATGACGATTTCAATACGGCTGAATCAATTGCGGTGTTGTTCGATATGAGTAAAAAAATTAACGCTTACAAAGAAGGCGTTTTGTCGATTGGAACATTGGATGCAGAAACGTACGCGTTGCTGAAAACCACGTTTACCGTATTCTTCAGAGATATTCTTGGTTTAGATAAAGAAGAAGAACAAGACAACAATGTAACCGAAGGCTTAATGAATTTGATTTTAGAATTGCGCAAACAAGTACGCGCCAATAAAGATTTCGCGAGCTCCGATAAAATCAGAGATGCGCTGAATGAACTGAACATTAAAGTGAAAGACGGCAAAGACGAAACTACCTGGAGCATTGAACAATAAATAAATCATCAAAAAATAAATACATCATGGCGTTACAAGATTACACCGACCAAGGCGGAAAAGACACACGATCCGGATTTGGCGTTGGTATGCTGGAATTGGGCAGAAAAAATCCGAATGTGGTGGCACTTTGTGCTGACTTGTTAGGTTCGTTGAAACTAGATGATTTTGTAAAAGAATTCCCTGAACGTTTTGTACAGTGCGGTATTGCCGAAGCGAATATGATTTCTGTAGCTGCGGGTATGACCATTGGCGGAAAAATTCCTTTCGCTACTACCTTTGCCAACTTTGCTACGGGGCGTGTGTATGATCAGATTCGTCAGTCGGTAGCGTATTCAGGCAAAAACGTGAAAATTGCTGCATCGCATGCTGGGCTTACTCTTGGCGAAGATGGTGCAACGCATCAAATTTTGGAAGATATCGGTTTAATGCAAATGTTACCGGGCATGACAGTAATTAATCCATGCGATTTCAATCAAACAAAGGCGGCAACATTGGCGCTGGGCGAACACGTTGGTCCGGCCTATTTGCGTTTTGGTCGTCCGAAATGGCCTAATTTTACACCTGAAAATCAAACCTTTGAGATTGGCAAAGCCGTTTTAATGAACGAAGGAAAAGACGTCACCATCTTTGCTACAGGACATTTGGTTTGGAAAAGTTTGGAGGCAGCTCGTCAGTTGGAAGCTGAAGGCGTTTCGGTTGAACTCATCAATATACACACCATTAAACCTTTGGACGAAGAGGCGGTCATACGCTCAGTGAGCAAAACCGGATGTGCTGTAGTTTGCGAAGAACACAATGTAATTGGCGGTTTGGGAAGTACCATCGCTACTTGTTTGGCGAAAGCGAAACCAACACCAACCGAGTTTGTGGCCGTAAACGATTCGTTTGGCGAAAGTGGCACACCCGATCAATTGCTGGCTAAATACGGATTGGAAACAGTAAACGTGTACCAAGCCGCGAAAAAAGTGTTGAACCGAAAATAGAAGATATGACCGATAGTGCTTTATTAGAACTCTTTCACAATGGAGCTCGTGAGCGCGCGTTTAATTTGTTGATGGAAAAATATCAGCAAAAACTGTATTGGCATATTCGAAGAATCGTGAACAATCACGACCATACGGGCGATGTGCTCCAAAACACCTTTATTAAAGCGTGGCAGGGTTTAGACAATTTCCGTGCTGAATCACAGTTGTTTTCGTGGTTATACAGAATCGCTACAAACGAAAGCATCAATTTTTTGAATAAGGAAAAGAAACATTCTTCTATCTCTTTTGAGGGTGGCTTTGGTCTAGATAATGACGAAGAAGGCAATTCTTCCGCGCCACAAAACTATGTACAAAGCAGTGGGGCGGATATTGATGGCGATAAAATTCAGGCGAAATTAGAGAAAGCCATTGCCGCATTGCCGGAAAAACAGCGCATTGTTTTCAACCTCCGTTACTACGATGAAATGCCTTATGAACAAATGAGCGAAGTGCTACAAACCTCTGTTGGTGCGCTGAAAGCATCGTATTTTCATGCAGCACAAAAAATAGAAGCAGCGCTTTTACGTGAAGAATAATTTGCAATCAATTAAACCTTTTGCGTTTTGAATGGTCATAACGACACGAAAATGAAAACAGACAATAACATACGAGAAGAATTAAAACACATTGCTCCTGTTTTAGCCAATGTTGAAAAACGTGAGAACGATGCGGTTCCGGCTGCTTTCTTTTCTGCCGTGAACGAAAACGTGATGAGCGCTATTCGTGCAACAGAGAAACAAAAAGAACTACAACCTATTGCTCCACTATTAGCTTCTCTTGAAAAGAATAAAGAGGCCGTTATCTCTGATGCTTTCTTTGCACAAATGCAGGCGAGTACTTGGAAACAAATTCAAAGCCAATCATCACCTACTAAAAAGCAAGCGTCAGACAAAATAAATGTTTTGGATCGATTGCTCGATTTGCTTTTCAGACCAAGTTTTGCGATGGGTTTTGCAGCTTTTTGTGCGTTTATATTTTGTGGAACAATCTTCTTGTCGAACAATTCAACGCAAAATTATACAGTCATTGCAAGTACTCAACAGCTCAGCAACAGCGAGATTCAAGCCTATATTGCCGAAAACAATGACGAGTTTGATGAAGCAATTTTGACAAAAGATTGGGAAAGTATAGACAATAAAAGCATACTCGAAAATTCGTCCTTAAATGAAGAAGAGTTAAATGCCTATTACAATAGTGAACTAAACAACGAAAAAATATAGTTATGAAAATGTTAATCAACATCTTGCTTTTAAGCCTTGCGCTTTCTGCAACAGCTCAACAACCACAAGATAAAGGTCGCCACGAACGTGTAGAGTCTTTCCGTATCGCCTATATCACTGAACATCTAAAACTTACACCTGAAGAAGCACAACGCTTTTGGCCGGTTTATAACGCTTACCGTACTGATATGAAAACGCTTCGTCAGAACTTCAAAGCAGACGATAAAGACGGAACTCCTCTAACGGCCGATCAGCAATTAGAATTCGAGCAAAAAAAATTGGATTTGAAGAAACGATTTAAACCTCAATTCGAACAAGCTATTGGCAAAGAAAAGTTAAACCTTCTTGTGCAAGTTGAAGAAGACTTCAAACGTGAGTTGATGAAGGCGATGCATGAGCGAAGAAGTAGGTAAGATCTGCTTTCTAGAGCCTACCTATAGAGGGATGCTTTCAATTAAAACCTTCTCACCAGAAAGATCGAAATAAGTACAGGTTTTTTCCGCAACATTTACTATCCATTTATTTACACCCGTTTTAGCACAATCTGCACAAAAGGTAAAAAAGTCGGTTTCCCCGCGTTGATGTCTCTTCAAATCAGCTTGAAACTCCTGCGCATTATGTGTTTCCGCTATAGCCAATGGTGAATATTTTGAATCGGCTGTTACAGCATAGTTTCTTTCCCCGTGAAAAACAGTGTTTCCGTCTTCAACAAAGGTTTCTAGGCGAATCACTCCCATCTCTATGAGCTCATTCATATAGTTTGGAAAATCGGCTCCGCTTTTTACTTTGGCCTCAGCGGCATTAAGTTCTTCTAATGTGAATTGTTGCATCATTAATCTTATTGAATTGCTCCTGTTAATTTCATGTATGAACGAATAAATACAGCACCTACGTTTTTGTGAGGAGGAATGTAGTCTACGAATCGAATGTAGGATTCGGTACCCTTCAATTGCTTGTCGAGATCTGACCAAATCTGTGCCCACTCTATATCTCTGCCCTCTCTAGCTGCATCTGCAATGAGTTTCAGCATTGGGTTGTTAACGCCTTGTACACCAATTTGTTTCGATGAAATAATATGTGCTTCCGGAGCACGTTGAATCACTCCCGAAAGGTTATGATAACCTCCACATGAGCCCAACACGAAAAGTTTTGCTGAAGGTTTAATTTTCTCAATCGTTTTAGAAGCGTAATAGCTATGTCCACGGTGAATCAACACATCCGGTTGAATACCAGCGCTGTCTAATATTCGTTCTATATATGCTTGTCCTTCATATTCAGCCTTCGGCTTATTGGCATATATGACCACAGGCCGACCTTTTACCGAGCGAATAACTACATGTATTGAATCTTCTTCTTTCTTAACCCAGTTTTTATCTGCAAATGTGTTCATGAAAGATTTAAACGAAGCACCGCCATCCTCATCATCATAAAAATACATATGCCAAACAGACGCTTTGTTTTGTTGGAACAGGGTAGCATTTTTCAGCATAGTTATATCGGGGATACCGTATTTCTCTGATATGTTTTCGTACCAGTCTTCATTGAATTCTCGACCGCTATTAAAAAGACTCGTCAACAAACCATAAATAGCCACACCTTCGCGCGATTTGGTTTGTTGTGAACGCTTATACTCTTCCCGAATATTTTTCCGAATAAAGGCCAATAACACCTCATCGCTGATTCCTGTATAAGTATCGGCCACCTCCACTGCTTGATCTATACTCGTACTTGCATCATCCAAACCACAAACGAACATTTTCAATAACGCCTTTTGCTCGTCAACAGTCATAGTGGCCATAAATTCATCTAGCTTTCCAAAAGAAGCGCATTGTTTAATAAATGTTCTATAGCGATTCATGCCCACAGATTTCAAAAAGACAAAACCCTTTGTTTTTCCCATTTTGGCGAGAAAACGTTTCAGCAACCCGTTAAATGAGGATGTAAAGACTTCTTCTTCACTATAAACGATAAGCGTATATAACTGCTCTGGAGTAAAATTGTCGATAGATGCAAATCGTTTACTGTCGGGCTCATTGTGTAACTCGTTCAAGTTCCTTACAAATTTCAGCGATTGTATTTCCAATTCCTTTTCCAAAGAAAACTCCCCTATTGGATCCTTCTGCATTCGAATCTGAATCATTTTTTTGAGAAACACTACTGGTTTTTTTGTAGCGGCATCTGCTGAGGCCAGCGTCATTTCGCCTCTCACAATGGGATCCATCAGAACATAAGATCGTGTGCGCTTTCCTATGCTTTCGGTGATTTTCAGAATTTGTTGTACAGCCGGTTCTTTGCTCTCTTTAAATATCTTGTTGATAGGATTTCCATCTAACACATACTTTTTCATTTCGTTTGGGGCAACCTTACCCGCACGTTCTACAATTTTATTCCGATAGGGCCGATCCCGATACTGATGATAATTTTCAACCACCTCTTCCGGATAATTCGTTGCAGCATACAATAAAAAAGATTCAGTCTCGGGCCGGAAACTATATAAGGAAACCTGTTTAATTGAAACCAGAACATTTGTTTTGAGTGCGCTGAACAAATCGTTCTTGTATATACCGTCTAGAATGTGAAGAATATTGGTAATCTCTCGATTATCTTTGTCTAGCGCATTTACATCTAGGTTGCGCACACGTGTCAATGTATAGTATAGATAGTACGCTATTGAGTCGCGCTGTCCTTCATTTACGTCCACCTTTAACATTAGTCGCCATATAGAATCGACTGTTGTAAAATAAATTTT